TTTACGGATATTTTCATTTTTAAATTTTTTTAGTTTTTTTTTCTATGAATATCAATAAAGTTTTATCTGTTGGGCCAAAAAGTGTAAAAATTTAATACAAGGCTCCTGATATATTGTTACAATATCGGTTGAAAGATATTAAAAATACATAGGCACAATTTTTTTTTATAGGGATTTAAAAATCGAATTTTGACAAAATTTATCAAATTTAAAATTGAATAATTATTTTGTAGTTAAAAATGTATAAAATGTTCAGTTTTTATAGCTAAGGATTGAAAATTTAAAACAAGATTCCACGTAAGTAGTTAATTCTCTTACCGAAAAATCTAAAAAATATACAATCACAGTTTATTTTTATAGTCATTTTATGTTCAAACTTGGACGAAATTACATATTAAAAAACCTAGTTATTTTGTTGTGATTATATAATATTATTCGTGGGTACCTACTTGAAACTTCTAAAGTGTACTATTATATATCTATGATAGTATCAGGGTTTGTTATTAATGTTGATGTATAACGTGTTATAAGTACCTAATGGATATTGTGATAATGTGATATGATTAATTTGGAATTTATTATAGGTCAACTTTTTTTTTAATACCATAGATATGTATGTAATTTGTCTTAAACCTAGACTGACATACCGTCTTCGCTCAGAATCGTTTTTCTTATACAATGATATTGTATCATTGAATTCAAATTTAATATCATCCATTATACAGTGACCCACTTGTAACCTACTGTACAGCAGAGCGACATCCACTTACCTACCTTTTTTAAGTTGTAAACGTGATCACCTAAAGGCTTTATTGCAATATTGCCGTTATCGGTTTTTATTATTGACCGAGGTGTTGTATTTACTATTTATCGTAGTATTTTCAATTCGGTAATCGGTATAGGTAGACTGCATTAATTATTTACAAAAAATTATTTTAAAGTTGCGTGCCATAAATTAAATGATTTCTTTTTCTCTGAGTGCCATACAATTATGAAAAACAAATAAGAAGACATGGGGGCACGGGGCCCTTCTAACCACGGGGCTTCGGGCATTTGCACGGAGTGCCCCTCCCCCCATAGAGCCGTCACTGATAATATTGCTCATATACTATTAATTAAACCCGCATTCCGGATGGGTATTTAAAACTATTGTACTTTTTGGTTCTAAATTATCTGGAACTGGTAGGTACCAATATTATTTGAAACTGATAACTGATAGGAACAGTTATTTTAGTTTTGGAGAGCCAGTACCGGAACCGATACCGATAAATTCAAAAGGTTCTAGTCCCTAGTATAAATTAGTATTATAAGTTTTAAGTAAATGTAATGAATAAAAATAATAAAATTAAAAATTTGTGTATAGATACCTGCAATAGTTTTTTCGATACATTGTGGGCTGTGGCTATTAATATTAATACAAATTATTCTATATATATTTGGCCCATTTATTACTTTTAGTTTGACATGTTTGTAGTTGTAGACTGTAGTTATTATAGGTTATTCTTATAAAGTTATTTTTAACCATCGAAAGTCGTCCATCAAATCATATTATGAATGTTCAATATTTTCATCACTTATTTACAAGACTTTAAGTGGGAAACAATTCCCGGGCCTAATGTCTCCATATAGTTTTAAGCGTACTGTTTAGATATGGTATATTATTATAATTTTATGTATAGGTAGTTTCTAATTTATACCTAATAATATGTAGTGTATAAACAGTGATTGTGTAAGCATATACTCATCCCACTTTCAACCCTGAATAATGTTCATATTCGTTATCTATATCATGTAAAATTTAAACCACATTAATAGGTACTACATTTATAAAAGGGCGTTATAGGTGACGCTTTTTAAACGCCATCAGAGGTAGGGGGACTGAGTTTCCCAGCATCCCCCATTGGCCATTACTTTAATACTGAAGACTTTAAGTTACATTAACATCGATATTATGACCTTGGTGTTCACATTTTACTATATCGTATTATAATAATTAAAGACCCAAACATTAATTGTCCTTGAAAAACTTTGGGACGGCTCTGGCAACAACTAAAATGTAAAATTTAGGGATTTTTCATACATCCTACATTCCTACAAGACAAATTTATGTTCATGTAGCCTCACTGTGTGGTTTTACAAAACCTTGAAATATTTACAAGAATAATTCTATTACTGTTATTGGACCCATTGACGTAATTTCAATTTATTCCGCATTAAATTTCAACAGGATGTTCAATAATTATAAAGACAAATATTAAGTTATCTTTGAAGCCAATCGCTTCATACGTAAAAAACACAATATTTACATTTAATTGTTATTTTGTTAAAATTTAGTCTATAGTCTATGATAATGGCACTGCTATAATTAGAGTAAATAGAGTAAATGTTTTATAGTATCATTAGATAATCATTCTTCTAATAGATAAAGAAACGTTTTATAAATTAGTCATTAATAATATATTGCCCACATATTCTGTATGCATTTATATTTTTCAAATAATAATAATTAATAACAATATTTTCATTAATAAATAATTATCAGAAAAAAATTGTAAAAAATTAATTTTAACCCCATGAAAAAAAAAATTCTTGATACGCCACTGCCTGATACACTAAAACTGAGATACATAAATTATATAGCATTATATATTATATACTCAGTATTTAGAAGGAACTGATTTCTGGAACTTATGCTTTTTTAAAGAACCGCACATTGAACGAATTCTTTTTTATAAAAAAAGAAAGAGAAAATGAAAGAGTTCTTTTTTCAAGGAAAAATAACAACATGTTTTTGCTCCAAGTTTTGCTCTAGTTCCAATAACTTACACAGATATGTAAATAATTTAAATTAAGATATATATATTTTTAATGTGTATAATGTATATTACCAATTAGTGATCGTTATCCACTTTAATAGTTTAATCATAACGCATTAGTCATTTTATTAATATTTCTCATAAGTCATAAGTTAAAATGTATATAAAAATGAGTAAGTACCTATATAAAATATAGTTATTTATATCAATAAACAATAAGACAGTCGACATACGTTGGCCAACTTAATTTCGAAGAAAATCTCAAAATAGAATTATAAAATTATTATAATATACCTACTTGTAGGTATATATTAAAATTAAAAATTAAAGAAGTATATATATGAAAATATATTCATCGCTCCGCTCAGAATCTAAAAAACATTAAGGGACTGAAGCATAACATGTTTTAAGGAGTAGTGTTTAGGCATTTCATATTACATGTACATTTGGCTGTGTCAATGTGTGAGAAGTAAATGAACATTAGTGTGTGTAATCCGTTTTCGCATTTTTTGAGACGAAATTTGAACTCCCGGATTTACGATAATTACAATAAGAATTTTTATTTTATTTAGATCTAAAAAAGTAACTTGTTAATTTTCTAAAGGAACTACAAAGGACCGAATCCTTTTTTTTTAAGCAATGAGGAACTGAACGAATAGGTACCTTTTTATAAGGAACTTTCCAAACACTGTATATACTAATATACTGTATACTATAACTATATACCTACAATATACTATATAATATAATATATAGTAGGTTGTAGGTATAAAGTATATAGGATTTTCGCAAGAAAATTGCACACGGGCGACCCCAGGTTATTTAGCTACTCCATATACATATATAAAAATTAATGTTTGTCCGCGTGTCCTTTATGCATATGCATTCTTAAACCGTTCATCCGATTTCGATGAAATTTGGTACCAAGATAGATTACACCTTTGAGAAGATAAGGTACATTTTGTGTCGAAAAAGGGTATATTTGAGGTCCAACCCGGGGAAGTGCTCAAACAGGGTTTTTAGATTTACGATGGACATTATTGTTTATAAAAAGGTTGCTATTGGTTTTAATAATACCTACTTATTATTATTGATGTAATAAGCACATTGGAACTTCTATGAATACATTTTAGTACAGAATTTCTCAGAATCTTCTTTATCTATACATAAATGTTTGATTTTTTTGATCCATCGGATTTTAGTACGGTTAGGTTTGGTAACTTATGTTAGGATTTTGTATTAATTGATAGTATTAATCCACTGTAGGTTAAATTATGTAAAAATGACAAACTTGGTACAACTTTGATACTTTAGAGTTAAACTATACTCTATTCAGTCTATTCAGAATACGACACCAGGCGGCCAATCTCAAAACTGGTTTTCTACATAAATCTGGTGTGCAGTGTGCTCTTATTCTGAATAGACTATAGTTAATGGTTATTAATGTTCTATCAACCAACCAATATATTTATATCACATTAATCAAATCTATATTAGTATTAAGACTAGTTTAATATAAAATGTTATTACTAAAACAATAATTTTGTGAGGATAATTTTCTTTATAGAAGTAGGTCTTAGAATATTGATATCTGAACACACATGGTTCAATTTAAACATTCGGATTCCTTGTTTTGATTTTTAATTTATTTAGTTAAATTTTATGTAAATAATTAATCATAATTTTAGGTTATTGGAATCAACACCAATGGTGGCTTATCTATATTTGAAATAGTCATCATCATTCATCATCATATTAATTATTCTTCTTCAGTTGTTGTGAAGGTAGACAGTACGAAACAGGTAGAACTATAGTAATTTTATAAATGTGTAATTAAAAATGTATGATGTAGACAGATGTAGTATCTTTTATAATTTGTTATAATAAAATCATAAATACAATACACTACTGCACATATATTATTATATTAAACTCATTCCACAAAATAATACTAAAACATTCTTAATGGTGTAACGGAATAATTTAATACAGGTATATGACAATATTAAGACTATTGTCGAAATTAAAATAAATTCTAATGAATATAAATGTAGAGTAATAATAGTTTAGATTGTAATTTGTATTACACAATGTAATAATATCAGTGAAAAATTAATACACAGAAAAAGGTCTAGTCCAAATTAATTGTGGTAAAATTCAAGTAAAAAATTTAACACCAGTTAATCATTTATGTTTATGAGATTTCTTTTTTGACTTATGTTTATGTTTGTGTTTCTTGTGTTTACTGTGTTTATTTTTATTATTTGAAATATTATTGGGCGATTCTGATTTTTCCACCCAATCATCTTCAACAAATGAATTTTCAATACTCTTAATATTAACAAAACTTGAATTTAAGTCATTTTGTTCTGGCAAGAGTGGACCATATGATTTATTAATATCAACAGTGTGATTTTTACTGCTATGTGCATTTTTGTTTTCATTTCCAATTTTATTACTTTTATTTGGTGTATCAAATAAATCACCAAAATTTAGATTAGCAAAAATTCCTTTGGGAGGAAAAAGATTGAATGTTGTGGAGCTCTGGACACTAGATTCTACTATATTTTCTTTTTTGATAGAAATGTTGGTTAAACGTACTTCTTTTTCATTAGCATTTGTAGATACTTCTTCACTTTTTAATGAATTTTGAACAGTTAAAGTTTCATCATCACTATCATCCAAAAATATATCTTTGAAAAAATCAACACTTGGTTTCTGACATTCTACAACATCACTAATTGTTTCCTGAAAAAAAAAGTTAATACTTATAGTTTAATATATTAAAACATTGCATTTTAGAAAGCAATTTTATAATAATTAAGGTTTTAATAGTAGTTAGTGATTAACAATTATATTAGTTTCAGTATCATAAAAAAGTAACAATTAAATATAGATATTTATATTATATTTAATTATTCTATCACATTAAGTTAAATAAAAATAACTATTGATATATTAATTTAGTGGTTGTATTAACCCCTGTAAGAAACCACTATTGGCAGGCTTTTACAGTACAAAAATACATCAATTAAGTGGTTCAACTATACAAGTCAAGTAAAGATTATAGGTTTCAAATTATTTTTATTGAAAGAATTTAAACCTTAATTATAAAATATTATAACTACACTAGTGATAGCAGAAAGAACATTTTTAAAAATTTTAAAAAAAAAATTGCTAGGGGATTTAAAGTTAGCTTGACATTAGTGAATACATATTGTTATAAATATGTTGTTAAAAATACATAATAAAACAAAATTTGAACATACCATCACACTTTCTTTTAAACCTAATGGTTTATCATTTGCTGAAATCACATCATTTATTGCCAATGGTAAACTATTTGGAATTTTACTTTTATAGGCTGATATAGGTTCATGTGTTGGAAATTCTAGAGAATTAAAGAGACTGCACTCTCCAAGCTTCTTACCATCTTCTGTATAATTGACGCTATAAACACACATTTTTTATTATAGTTTTATAGACTCAATTGTACAATGTATAATTATTACATTGACTGTTTTGGTACAGGAATATTAAATCTTTTGCACAATAATTTATCAGGAATCCAAGGCTCAGTTTTACGAGTCCAAAAACCATACATTTGTTTGCTGGCATAGTTTTTGAGTCTTTCTAATGTTGGATCAGTAGTACGAACAACTGGTATTAAAGCGTTGGTAGAATCATCCGGTAATTCTGCTCTTGTAAATCGATCCGATATTATATCTGATAATAAACTAGGAACTTCTATAAAAAATTATATTATTACTTATTAAGTATTTTAAATACTAGATATCTATCTTATAAATTACCTTTTTTAATAAATTCTTCAACGGATGGTGGTGGTTCGGGTTTTTTCATTTCTCGTTGTCTAGTATTCACATTAGTATAAGAAATATTTGTAGGATTAAATGATTGACTGAAAAAATCAGGAGGACATTGTCCTACTATTCGATCAAACATTCCATGAGGACGCCATTCTGTAAGAAAAAAATAATATTTTGGAAAAATTGAAAAATTTGAGTAGAAAATAATAAAAATAGATTACCAGGAGGAATTTGTATGGGAAGCGGAAGATCTTCAAACAATCCATGTTTACTGTCATCTTCAACAAAACCATCAATACATTCAGAATTCATATTGTTAGTTTGTGTTTTATTTTTTGATTTTTGAGACTTTTCTTCCAAACTAAAATCATAATTTGTCATATCTTCAGTGGCATAAATATCGTCATCGTCATCTTCATATGCACCAACTCCAAAAGCCTAAGTTTAAATTAAAATATATTTCAAACCATAAATATTAAAATGTTATATCCTATTATGAAAATAATAGAATTCTCTATCAGATACCAAACACATATTATATAATTTGTATTGATTTTTTCACAAAATGTATGAAGAAAGAACTTTTTTTTTAATGATTAAGTTGTATTTTTTGTAGTACAATCCATACAATAACACACTCTCCAATATATTTAAAAAGTAACCTTAACATTAGAAAATATTTGGTATTGCAAATAATAATTACTTGTCCATGAATAGATTTTCCTCCAACAGTAAGCTTGCTGTACTTGTTCTCAGATTTTACTGAAACATTAGTTGTCTTGAGACCTTCATAACCAAGCCCAAAAGTATCAAATTTTGGTTTAATGGCTACAGACTCATATTCATAAGGCGAAACTTTAATGTTCTCTAATAATTCATTCACTTCATCATCATCGTCATCATCGTACTTGGTATTGATACTAAATTTCATCCCAACATTTTCCAATTCCTTTTTAGCGCGCAATTTTTCTCTCTGTGTAAGTTGAGGACCAACTCCTTGACCTGGCTTCCAGCCCATACTTCTCAGTAATTCAACACCCCACGTACCTCTTTAATAATATAATACAAATATTAAATATCTATTATTAACACAATATTAATATTTAAAAAGTAGTATTTACTTAATGGGTTTTAGAATTTCTCCAAGCACTGGTTTACCAGGGATAGGGCCAGTATTAACTATAGGAAGTTGACGTTTTCTTGAAGAATGATCACTATATTCTGCTTTGATTTTTAAACTTGATGCATCAATTCCCAAGTCTTTTTTATCCTAATAATAAAGAAATATAAAATTTATCTAACAAACTTAGGTTAGATTAGATCAATAATAGGTTTATATACTTCTTCATCCATAAAATCATAAGCATTTTGTGACTTAAGTGTAGTTTTTGAGTCCCTTGATGATTTAAATGTGCTTGGTGTCCATCCTTCTAATGAACCAACAGTATTATAAAATCCAGCAGAAAAACCGCCTGTAAATGCTCCATGAAATCTTCTTCTTCCGTTTTCATCTTTAACAAACTGTTGTTCAGCATCTTTTCTTTTAACGACCTCATCTATAGAGAAAAATTAAAAATTGAATAATCAAAACATTTTACAATATTTTTGGGTGACTAGTTATCATATTGTTAATTTCTTATACTAAATATTCCTACCTATGATTCAAAAGTAAATAATTTAATTGAAATCTGTTTAGTTATTTCGTAGTTTTTAGTAATGATATACTTGAGAGTCCAGATTAAGAATAAATAATAAACCTAATATATAGGTATGTACAAAAAAATATTGTCTGGCCATGTTTACTATATAATACCTATTATATAATATTACCTACCTAACCATATTGGTTGTCTGTCGACTGTCATCATCAATCTTTGTAAATTATAACATTTTGGAATGGAGTTATATATATTTAAAAAAACCTCAATCCCTTGTTCAGACCCCTCATTATAAAGACATTAATATACTAAAGCAAACTCATATTAAACACGAGAAAGTCTCAATACTAAATTTAATTTATTTTCATATGGGATTTTGTTACAGAAAACATATAAATTAATATCATGATTGATTATACAACAAATTACCATTAAGTAACAATTTATGTGCATTAATAGTTAAATTATTATATTTCTATGCATTCTCAAACTGACAAAATGACGACATCCGTCTCGTCTTGTATTAAAAGTTACTTCTGTCATATAATGAAGTGTTTGAAAGAAAATTGATAATAGAACAATAGCCATATATTACAATAAATAAAATGCTTGGGTTAAATTGTTATTGAGTGATTACTAAATTTGTTAAACAATAATAATTGGTAAACGTAGCCACGAAGATAAGTTGTGTCTATTAATAATATGGTAAAATGCAATATTACGTTTAAACACATACACCAGAGTGCCATTGGTGTTAGCTTAGATCTGTTAAATTACAAAATTATTCAAATTCATCTGTGAATTGTGATACAACTCAGTAACTCACCTTCATGTATAGGATCCAACAATTTCCCGTGTATGATGTATTCGTCGTCGTCATTGTCATCGTCAGTGGACATGATGAAGCTTGTAAATTAAATCAAACCATATAGTTTATTAGAAACCTACGTTGAGCATTCAATGATTTTGTCAACTGTTAAACAATTATGAAGAAACGTGTTGACCTGCCGTATAAAGTAAATAATAAATGTACGGTGAAACGTTTGACTGATAGTAATGAGATAAGAAGAATATCAACAAACAGTTTTCCAGATTCCAGCTGATAAAAAAACGAAATAATTAATTATTACAAGTGCTGAAGTGCTTACGAGTTACGACAGCTATTATAAATTATAATAAATAATAATAGATATGTCAATATAACTATAACTATGACTATATTAGCAATAAACATAGAAGATACAATTTATTAATTATTAATTATAGGTATTAGATATATCGAAGATCGAACGCACATTTGATAAACACAACTACATACAATACTACCTATATAATAGTGAACCAATAAAATAAATAAACAAGCCTAACTAAATAATATGTCCCAATATATTATTCTCTATTGAGTTTGAGTATTGATCACGCAGCGTGCTAACGTCGCAGTATATATTGTAATATTGTATATACAGTTCATATTGTGCACAAGGCACAAGTGTAAGAACCAATAAATAATGAAAAGAGCTTTAATAAGTTATTTTAATAACCCAAAAAGCTTAAGAGCCGAGAAAGGTAAGTACAATAATTATACATATACATATTTATCTACCCAAGTCTTATTTACCTACATTTTATATTAACTAATATTATTGTAGTTATTTCTTTATTAGTTAATAATATATTAATGTATAATTTTGGATATTCTAACATTAGATGGGTAGTAGGTACATATTAATCTGTATTAATTAATAGATGAATATTATTTAGCCATAAGGTATTACATATTTTAAATTTTTAAGACATTTTATACTAATATAATATTGTTGATAAAGTTAAGTACCTATTTTAATTATTTTAGATTCTGAGCGGAGCGATGAATGTATTGGTTTTACAATGATGTATGTTTTTATATTTTTATTTATATTTTTATATTTTTGTGTCTGTCATCACGTTTTAGGACAGTAAAAGTGCTTCGATTTTCTTCAATAGTATCTTTTCTGATAGGAAAGTGAATCTAGTTGGTACTTTGGGGGGTCAAAAGTAAACATTTTCCAGTAGTTTTCACAAGCGCCGGGAAAAACAACATAAAAATTAAGGAAAAACGGGAATTTTTACGCAAAATCGATTTTCCAAAAAATCGAATTTGGTTTTTGGTGTACTTTAAAACAAATGACCGTAGATACATGAAATTTTCACTGGTTGTTTATATTTGCATTTTCTATACACGATAACATTTTCAAAATATTTTGATTTATTTTGAACTGTTTAGGGACATTTTCATTTTTCATTTTTTTTTAGTTTTTTTTCTAGAAATATCAATAAAATTTTATTTGTTGGTTGCGAAAGCTTGAAAATTTAATAGAAGGCTCCTAATATGTTGTTTCAAAGGCAGATGAAAAATATTAAAAATCCTTAGTCACAATTTTTTTTTATAAGCATTTAAAGTTCAAAAATTGACAAAATATGGAAAAATCACGAAAATTAGCAAATTATTTTGAGTTAAGAATTCGTAAAAATTTTTCTTTTTAAATCTAAGATTTGAAAATGAAACACAAGATTCCTTATAAGATTATCTACCTTTATCAATAAAAAAATCTCTACCGGACAGTCAAATTAAATTTTTATGAGCGTTTGAAATTCAAATTTTTACAACATTGGATTTTCACTCGATTTCTCATGTAGCGATTTCCTTATTTTGTTGTAATTCAAAAACGAATAACTGTAGATACATGAAAATTTCACTGAATGTTTATATTAGCATTTCCTATACACCATACAATTTTGAAAAGATTTTGACTCTTTTTGAGCTGTTTATGGACATTTACAGCTTTCAATTTTTTTAGTTTTTTTTTTTATAATTGTCAATAAAATTTTATTTGGTGGGCCAAAAAGTCTGAAAATTTAATACAAGCTTTCTTATATATTGTTACAATATCAGTTGAAAAATTTTAAAAATACATAGGCCCGATTTTTTTTTTATAAGCATTTAAAGTTGGAATTTTGACAAAATTTATCAAAATCTCGAAAATTATCAATCGTTGGAATTAAAAAATTATAAAATGTTCAGTTTTTATAACTAAGAGTTGAAAATTTAAAACAAAGATTCTCTTAAATAATTCATACTGTAACCAAAAAATCTAAAAAATATATAAACACACTTATTTTTTACAGACATTTTAATTTCAAATTTAAACCAAGAATTACGATTTTAGTTATTTTGTTGTGATTGAATAATACTTGGGTAGCCAGGGTAATATAATCTATGATAATTGTATGTATAACGCGTTAAAGTATCTAATGGAAGTAAATATGGTATAGGTATATTTCTTTATTGTTAATAATATGTATATATTCTTATACTAAATACGTTGAATCGTTTTCTTATACATGTAATATCATAATTCAAATTTAATACATCCATATATATATACTAGTTAAGTACCATTGCCATCTTTTTTTTATTGAAATGATAATTATTTAATATTGTTTTAGTGCATTATAATTTACACACTATTAATCTCAAAACTATCTGTATAAAGTATAATGATATAGTATATTGTATTATATCGAAGGTATTAATGTATATATTTTCTGGACAATTTTGCGTTTTGGTAAGTACATTATTTTCATAAATTGTTTTAATTAATTAATGATTTTATTCATGGCATTTTGATTTACTTAATTGATAATATTATAAATAATTTTTCATACTAATAAGTAGGTACCCATTTATTATATTTTTATTATTGTATATTAATGTATAATAAAAATATAATGCTTAACCAATACAGACAATATATTGTGAAATGTAGTATTATTTTTTATGGATATTTTCTGATAAGGAGACGAGTGTATAAAAAAACCGAAAAGGGCCAAAAAATGTTGGCCCCCTTACATAAAAAGGTCTGGTTATGTGCCTGTACCTATATTATTGATTCTATAATAATAGCAATAATATTCTATAGTAATGAGTAATGACTAATGAATGCATTTGCAATAGCTCAATGTATATTTTTTAAATTTGTGTTTGTTAAAAACTCCATTCAACTTATTTTCAACTCCAGTTAATTTTTTGGTAGGTAAATGAATGGTTGGTTAGTAATTTTAAAAATCGTCAGGGGAAAAAAAATATATGTTGTATTATTATTATAAGCAGCCAGTTAAGTTGAATTCTCTCCTTCGTTTAAATATCTAATTTCGTCTAAATTTGAACAAAAAATCATCGTGTTTTTGTATTTTTTTACATTTTTTGGTTACACAATAATCTATACTTACCTGGAAGGCTGGAACCCAGGCACGGCACTAGAATTTTTTTCCAGGGGGGCAGAGTGGGGCAAATATTTTTTTTACATGGGCTAAAATTGTTTCAACAAATGCTGAGGTTATTTAAATGAAATATAAATATTTTCGTATCATATAACATAATATAGCTATTAGCTATATAGTACATACGTTCTATATTGTATGCTCTAAACGTCTAAACCAGGGATCGGCAACTGGCGGACCGCGGTCCGGATTCGGACCGCGGAATTCAAAACTATGGACCCTGTCAACACATTGTACTTCATTATGTTATTTTCTATAATAGTATTATTATTAATACAGACATTTATTTAATTTAATTTATCAAACTCAGATTATAGTTATATCATAATTCATTGAAAAATATTTTATCGGACAGGTAATAATCGGTTAGGTTGTTCTCCACGAGTTCCCGATTTCAAAAAGCTGGCTAAGGAAAAGAAATGCAATTTTTCGCATTAAATAATTTACTGTAATAAATATATTTTTTTTCATACTTTTATTTTAACCTAACCTAACCTAACCTAACCTTTGGAATTTTTAATATAAATTAATTGTAATAACTGAATAATTATTTTTATTTTTAAACTGCTATTTTTAAAATATAAAGATTTAAAAAATATTTTTTTCACTGGACCTCATTGATTTATTATTTTAATCTTTAGGACTCCAATAGAAATTACTTGCCGACCCCTGGTCTAAACATATAATATTTACAAACTTTTGAATAGTTAAAAATGTTTTAAGAATAATATCAAATATTTTTTTTGTACCTTTTGTAATATGTAAGAAAATGTTTAATCACAGACCTAAGACCTTCAACAACTATATTCATAATGATAACATGATATACAAAAATAATAATTTCTTTATGAGCTAAATATTGATTTTTTATACAATATCTGTTTATGCACCATACAGTAAATGATTGAAAATCTTATAATATTGAAAAAGTTAACAAAAATGTATACAATTGCACTGATATCAGTAGGAATACAATTTGTTTTAAATAAAAACTTTTGATTACCTACCTTATATTTAACTAGTACATTTTAAATTTTTAATTCAATACATTTTTAAATTGGTATTTGCATAGTAGTGTATGTATTGACTATTGAAGTACCTACTTTATATTTTTTGTTAAATTTTAGAGGTTAAAATAGTTCATATATACAAGGTTATATACAAGGCATATATACATTGGCATGTATACATTAAAACATAGATACCTACTTTAAGAAATCCTTTTTTATTAATTATCAAGTAATATGTGAACTAATTACCATGACAAATAAGATTATAAAAATAACAAAATAAGAAAATTGAATAAATTATTTAATTATTTTAAATAAGAAATTTGTCATGCTAATTACTAAACTAATATAAGTAGGTAGGTACGAATACCAACTCCTTACACAATAGTATTGTGTTAATCAAACATAAACATATTTAAAATAATAAGTCAACTAAAAATATTTTTAACTGTATACAACAAACATTAATTATATCGTACATATTTTTCAGTGGGGGGGCTGGCGAGGGGGCTGATCTGTTTTCTGGGGGGGCTAGAGCCCCACCTTGCCCCCCCTTGGCGCCGTGCCTG